TCAGAGAGTAATTTCAATTAGCTTTCCCACTGTTTGATCATGATCGAACATTGGAGAATGTATTTCATACTTTAATTTTAATTTTTCTAAATATCAAATCTCCTTGAACTTTTTAAGCCTCTATAGATCTAAATATTATGCATTTGATAAAAATAACCAAAAAGTATTTGGATAAAATAAACTGATCAACCACCCAGATTTGTCCGTCACTTCATGGATGACGATTATAGGTCCCCCATCCTATAAAACCCCATAAACTTTGTTTTATTTTATTTTATTATTATTATTATTTACAATATTCAAAACTTTTTATTAATCAATCAACAAGATTATAAAATTCCACCACATCATCAATAATGACTAACTCAGGAAGTGAAGCCCCCTTTTTGGCAAACTCTTATGCCAAAGCATTCGCTTCTAGGTGGACATGGTAAAACGAGACTCTACAACCAACATTGTCTCAGTTTTCAAAAAACTTTTGGCTCCTTTTTGCACCATAATATGGTATTGGTGCTAGCATTTTATTCTTTAGAAATCTTAAACTTTGTAGTAAAGCAGCCATTTCAGCCCCATTAACAGACATGATCCCACAAAGGCCAGCATAGCAGAAAATAACATTTCCATACCAATGTCTCACTACGTCTCCAATACCCCCAGGATTATCCAAAGAGCTGCCATCAAAGTTCAATTTATAACAGTCATCCATTGGTATAGTCCATATCACTTTCTGTCCAAACTTCACTTTTCCCATTGGAATGCATGATCCCGTTTTCATTTTAAAAGTATTTTCAAAATTGTCTCCCTCAATTATGGTGAATCTTGAACCACATGTCTATTTTTAATGGTTTGTGCTTTGACATAGCCCCAAATCTCTTTCGATTCAAATTTAGTTAATTTTTTTTATGTGGAGAAAGATAGATACTACAATACCATAACAATTCTCTTTTTAATTAGTGTAACAATGTCGCACTGGCCTAAGACTCACAACCAAAGGGATAGAAGAAAAACAAACAAGATGAAGTAGAAGAGACACTTTTCCCTTCAATTGTTGAAAAATGGGGTACACAAATGCATTACAAATTTGATACATGTGACCTAATTTTCCCACCACAGATATCTCTTCAAATAGATATTCTTACAACTATATCTACTATAATAACTGCCCACTTACAACAATAACTACTACTCTCACTTCAACAATAATTACTAACCACTTAATAGTTGCATAACTTTCTATTACACAAAGTTACAAATACAACTTCACTACATCACTCAAAATAAATAAAATAAATACTAATATGATTTCTTAAAAATACATTGTAACAATTTTAACAGTTTAAGCAAAAGTCACATAGGAGAGATCTCAGGTCTTTCACTCTCGACTATGGCTTTAAACAAGAAGCGCTTGAGACAAAGCACCAGTCGAAAGATGTTGGTACATGAATTATAACTAATAGCTATAAACATGATCCATCTACACTTTGTCGAGGAGACTTCTAGATTTGTGATGACGTTCAACTCAGTTTCTTGAATGAATGAGCATATACGTTTTGTTTACTTGATCAATTCTTTTAATTTTGGATGTGTTAGATAAGGTCATGTTAATTATCATGTTTTAAAGAAGATGAATACTATAGATTTAATTTTGAAGTGTGAGAATATCCAAAATGTTCTATGTGGTGTATATGTACAGTCTAAGCTCATAAGAAAACCCTTTCCTTTATTACAAAGAAGTTCCAATAGACTAGAATTAATTCATAGTGATGTTTGTAATATTGTGTATCTACTGACATGTAGTGTTGTTCTTAATGATTTTTCTAGTTATATATTTGTTTACTTGATAAGATGAAATATTTCTTAGAAATGATAGATGCAACAAGTATTGTTTCCTTAAATTAATTAAGTTTTGTAAGGAAAATTAGATTATTTATTAAGTAACTATTCCTTATACCCTACAACATAATGATGTCGCTGAAAGGAAAAGCAACAGGCTTATAATCATGTTCAATGCTATATCCATTACTTTCAATCTCCTTTTCTGGGAAGAGACATTAAGGTCTTCGTGTTATATTTTTTAGGGGACAACTTTATGATTAACTCCATTGCGACACCATATGAACTGGAATGGTGGGAACCTGGTCTATGATTTATTGACGTTTGAGTTTTTGTTACCCTTGTATGCCTGCAAGAACTTGAGAGGCTTTAACGTATATCAAAAATTATAGAATATGCTTTTATAGGCTGGAATATTTGGAATGTTTTGAAAATATATTTATTGAGGGAGAGTCTGAAGTCAGCCCGCTTGCAAATAGCTACAGTAAACGCCTGACGATAAGACTGAATTTGGGTCGATTTAATAGTCACGATTTCACTTCGTATATTAATTTTAATTTTAATTTTTAAAAAAAATCTGGTTCACTTGGAATTTTGAGTGTCTACTTTGAAAAACTCGGCGAACATTGGCATTCACTTATTCAGCTTCAGTATAATGCTACATCTATAAACATTTGCAGACAAACGATTGAGTGCAATACTAGATTGGCCTAAGCGTTGGGGAATCATTTTGGGTGTGGCTCGAGGACTTGTTTATCTCCATGAAGAATCTGTCCTAACGATCATACACAGAGACATCAAAGCCACTAACATCTTACTTGATCACACCATGAGCCCTAAAATCTCAGATTTTGGACTGGCCACACTCATTGGAGGAGAGGGTACTCAAGTTAAGGCCACAGGAGTTGCAGGAACATTGTAAGTTATATATTACCAATTAATACGTAAGAGTTATTTAATAATATGTGTATGTGTGTCGAAGTAATTTCATCAACAGATTTTAATAATACAATAAAACCATCTTTAAAAGCCATGTTAGGGTCATTTATATGGCTTCAACTTCTACCCATGCACCATTTGAAAATACATCATAATTTTTAAACTCAATTAATATAAGTTGTCCATTTAGTGAGATGCATAGATCTAGAACTTAAAGGCATTGTTTTCTTTTCTAAATTTGTAGATGGTTTTAGTACCATGTGATTGACAATGTTGAAAAAGAAAATTAATAATTTTGAGTTCGTTAAAGCCTAGATTTCTAAGTTCACCAAATAGACGGTTTAAATTCATTGTTAGAGAGGGACTCGTTTGACGATATGTAGGTGCAAATTAATTGTGGCCTTCTTATAGATGAATGCAGACATGAGATTCTTACCTTACGGTATAAATGTGTGTAGTGGATACATGGCTCCTGAATATGCACTCAATGGCATCCTTTCTCCAAAATGTGATGTCTTCAGCTTCGGCGTGTTGTTATTGGAGATACTGAGTGGGAGAAAGAACTACGATGAATATCTCGATGAATCATGTCAGGAACTTTTACAATATGTAAGTGATTCATTCCCAGGCACTTTTGTGTTTCTTTTTTGACATATGAGCTTGGATTCCAACCTTAGGGCTCATTTGTTTCAGTGGAAGAATTCTACTGTTGAATTTTCTGTTTTTCTTTTTTAGGAGGGATAGATCAATGGGGATGACAGCCCCTACCCATTTTTAGAAAGAGTCAATTTTTTGAAAGTTTTAGTAAGAACGGAGGTTGTGACCTTTAACTCGGGTGGTACTACTGCCGAAACCCCAGCCCCATTCTTTAAGTTTTCTTTATCTGTTGAGTACTATTATTTCAGGTTTGTTTTCTGGGAAAGCAGCCATCGCTATGTTTTCTTAATCTATCCCTATGCTCTATGTATTTTCATGAGCAAGTGGCTTCATATCTATTTAGGTGCAAAAGCATTTTCTCAGGTTAAAGTGAAAGCTCTCCAGTGAACTAGCTTTCGCATGTCCCCTAAAAAGTGCTTTCAATGAACATAATTGATTTAAAATTATTTATGTTTGGTAGATTTTTGTCACAAAAAATACTATGCATTTTATTCCAGGCTTCGAAATTATATAAAGAAGGGAAGCTTCTACAATTAATGGATGTGAATATTGGATCTTACCCACAAGGAGATGTACTAAGGTGCATTAAAATAGGGCTGTTATGTTGCCAAACTAATGTAACAGAGAGGCCTACAATGGCTTCTGTGGTGCTAATGCTCTCCAATTCTACCATGACAACAGCTCGTCCAGGACTGATTGGATATAATAGGGGAAACAAGAAGCCTTCTTCATTACCTTCTCGGAACAGGCACCATGTCTCTAGGAACTCAGTTACTTTATCTTCCTTGGCTCCAAGATGATAAGGAAACTATTGTTTGATTGTTTCTGCAACATTATTTACAAACTATATCTTTTGACAAATCATTGTTTTCAGGCCAATGCCTGATTTACATATTAATGGGATTTATTTATAGACAATGGAGAAGAGAAAGTTATGCTTAACTATGGAAATAATTTATTCTTTTGTGTTCTTAGAATTAATGGGAGTGTAGGCTTTACTTGTGGAGTCCCGAAGCATGTGTCCATTGAGGTGTACTTTACACTTTCCATGCTTGTAGCTCACTATATTTTTGCCAGTTATGTCGGAGGATGTACACACATGTAATATCGATGCACCGCGGTTATTTGCCAGTTGTGTCGGAGGATGTACACACATGTAATATCGATGCACCGCGGTTATTCTGAACCATTGTGATTGTTGAATGGCCAACTGATGAACAGCTATTGACAGTATGTGAGTTGGTTAATAAAAAGCCAAAATGAATAATCATAAGGCAATGAAAGTTAATAACTCCAAAGACACTTTCTCTCTCTATATAGTAGGACTTATTTTCACTACCAAAATACAATCATCTTACACATTGTATTTTTCTCTCTTCCCAAAAAGGTACTATGGTGCTTCGAGATTTTGCCCTTACCATGCATTAAATAAGATCAGCACTTGGTCTTTGTTTTAGTATCCCAAGGATAAATTTGTCAACTTTATGCATACTAATTTTTATTAATATGGAAAAAATATTATATTGAAATAGCCTATGTGCCTGAAAACTAAAAGATCTCTATTTAATTTAAGTTAAAATACCTCAGTCGAGCAAAAAAATACGGCCCACCTTTAGCCCGTTCTTACTATTTCTAACAAAATGGGTTTGTTGGGTGAAGAAATTCTTCACCAAAAATTTTGATGGCTGCACTTTTCATGCGTCTTTTTTTTTAATGATAACCACAAGATTCATTAATCCGAGAAATTACATATAGAGATTGCAAGTTAGAGAAGGATATAACCACCAAAGAAGATGGGTGTACACCACCCTTAGCAAGAGAATCAGCTTGGAAATTAGTAGCCTCTCCAAAACAATGAAAAAGCTCAAAAGAGCCAGAAGATAAAAAATGAAAAATGTCATCAAATAGAAATGTCAATCTTCATGGCGCCTTCATCTCTCCTTTAGCCCATGCTATCACATTTTTTTAATCGCCCTCAATAGTTTTATTTCCACTTAACTGTGAAAATAATTGCAATCTTTCCAATAGACCTCTTGTATCTGCTTTATCTCTTGAAATTTTTGGCAAACTCAATTTTGTTTCTAGGATGAAATCAACATGAGTATGAAAAACAAAGATTTCTTTAAATAAAGTTAACAGATTATCCCCTTTTCCATGGATCATCACAGAAAACCCATTTATCAACACCCAACCAGAGAACCAAAAAACATAGGTTTCTTATAAGGATTCACAAAGCAATCTCATTAATAAACAAGAAACGAAAAAACATAATACCCAACAACCAAAAACACGAGACTCACAACAACAACAATTACGGTTTATAGACCCAAGTAAACCAAGAATCAACAACGAGTAAAACCAGAAATCCGAACTAGCAAAGCCCACATTCTCCTCAAAAAGTTTCTTGAACAGAAGGCCATGGATACTCACATTAACCAGATAGATTATTAAAATGACGCTGCCTCCCAAAAGAAAACCTTAATCTAGAGAGGAGAATCCTCAAATGGATTGTTATTTACAGCTCCCAAAAGAAAACCTTAATTTAGAGAGGAGACTCAAATGGATTCTTGCAGATTCTTGCTTACGGCTTTATCGCAATAGCCAGTATATTCCACCATACTTTACAAAGTGACGGGGTAATTCCTGTTCCAGTCCAATGATATTTTTTTGTTCGGATTTGATTTTTTTTAAAGATCTTTTTCAAATTTAACGGTAATCTTTTAAAACCTGGTTGAAAAAATATTTAATAATAGTCCTTCGAAACCACATAAGTAGTTTAAAAAGGTTTTATAAGTTCATTACTCTTTGCTCTTTGGCCTAATACTCTCTCTCTCTACTCTAATCAGAGAGTTTATTTATGTTTTGATGAGACAGAGAGAGAAAACTAAACTGGCATTGGACTTATTTCTCTCTCATGATAATGCAATTATAAAGGTAAGTATAGACGAATTTTAGAGGCTAAAAAATATGCTTATATATAAAAAGATAGTGTTTCTTGCTGGTCTACTTTATTTTTTCTTACTTCCATTTATAGCCCATATGAATGATCCTTTTCTTCAAAGAGAAAAATCATTTTTCTCAAAAAAAAAACTATTCAATTATATTTAGACATATGCTCCACACGCTGAATATCATTTTGAAATTGTGATGCCCTCCCCTTTTCTCTTCTTAACATAGCCAAATAAAGGAAGGGTTTTGGTATGTCAATCTTTATTCGTGTTATGGTCCCTTTCCAAAATCCATTTCATAAATGAACTTTGGATCCAGAGGTGGATGATATCGACTGCTACAATAATTGTAAATAAATCAAAATTAAATCTTAAAAATAATCTATTTGAGCTTTTCTAGAATAATTATTGTAATTTTTTACAAGATCATCGAACATGTATTAATTTTGACATGCATAATCATAAAAAGTAAAAAGCATTCGGACTGATTAAGATATGTTTTATGTTCTAAAATAACAAAAAACGAGTTGGGTTCAAAGGTCATCAACGGCAACAAAAGCATTTCTTATAAAATATCGTCCCTTGAGTTCAAAGACCGGTAATTGTTAGGATTTCATAGCCCTCTTAGATGCGGAAACAGGAATCCCAAAAGGTTGGATCCCACTAAAAACATGTATTTATCTATCTAAAAACAAAATATACAAGAATACGAGCTATAATATATGAAATAAAATATAAAAGACACGCTAAAAGAACACCAAGATTTACGTAGTTCACCCAAATGGTCGACATCCATAAGCATGACAAGTTGAAATCTATTATATCAATAAAAGTTTCATCACAGATTTTGGGTTACAAAGTTACTACTTTAATCAATGACAAAAATCAATTGAGCAACCCTTTTAGGTCCACTTTCCTGGCTAGTATCACTCACCAATCTCCTATCTCTATTCCCCAAAGCATTTTCTATGAAGAGATCTATTTCTATTCCACAACTAAACTATTGTATATGAAAATACCCATCTTTGTTCTACAGCTAAAATACTATCTAGGAAGAGACACATCTATCTTCCACAGCTCAGCTATTGGCTAGAAAAAGAACCTTGAGAGCAATCGAGATTTTTTCTCACTAAGTGAAAAACATCCAAAATCTCCATAATAACCATTATTCTACATAAAAACTAGCATCTCATTATGGAGGAGACACTATCACAGCGTTTCTCTTTATAAGAACCTCTATTCTCTTTAAAGAGAGGCATGCTTCTCATGCATAGGAGGCCCCTACCTCTCTCTCTCTCTCTCTCTAGAAGAAGCCACATTTATTATATAATATATCAAATAAGGAACACATATTCTTTCCTCTCTTATGTTATATAGAGGAATAAGAATCCTAACTAAATAAGAAATTTCGCATAAATGTTATATACATCTCAAAATCCAAGAGATATAACTAAGAGTCATAATCTTTTTGGAATTTTATTTTCTTAAAAAAATTATTAATATTAATTTCAATATCAATTACAATCCCATGTAATATAAGATTTCTTTATTTTGGATATCATTATATCCAAAGATCTCCACCTTGATATGAAAATCACCTACTCACTATACCATCATCTATCGGATAGCTTTATGAATTCTTAATATTTAGCCAAATAAACCCCTTCATCATTCTTACTGGAAAGAATGAGCTTGCTATCATATTTATCCACCTCAAATGACACACTCGCATACTTTGTCATGTGCTTTTCTTCAACCAGTTGCTAATATTTACTAAACCATGCAATTTGATACCACTTGTTAGGATTTAAGAGCCTCTTAAATGCCAAAACTAGGAATTGCAAAAAGTTGGATCCCACTAAGAATGTGTATTTATCCAGTTTGAAATAAATTAGGCAAGAATATTAAAAGAAGTAAACTATAAATGACATACGTAACGAAAACATAAAGATTTATGTGATTCACCCCAAAAGGGCCCAAAATATTAATAAAAGTTTCATCACAAATTTTGGGATACATAGTTTCCTCTTTAATCATCGACAAAACTCAGTCGAGCAACCATTTTCGATTCGCTTTTCAAACTAGCATTGTGCACCGATCTCCTATCTTTATTCCATAACAAAATCACTGTCTAGGAAGATATTCATCTCTATTCCACAACTAAACCATTATCTAAGAAGAGACTCATTTCTATTCTACAACTAAAGTACGGACCAGGAAGAGAACCCAGAGAGCAACCGAGTCTTTCTCTTACTAAAAGGGGAAACCAACCAAAATCTCCATAGGAACTGTTTTTCTAAAAGAAACCAGTTTCCCACTATGCGGGAGGCATCATTGCAGTATTTCTCTCTATAGGAAGTTCTTTTCTCTCTAATAAGACGCATTGCCTCTCATACACAAGAGGCATCTTCCCCTCTCTTTAAAGGAAGTTACATTTTCCATATATATATATATATATATATATATAAGGAAAGTTCTTATAGATATTACATATCTATCAAAAAACCAAGAGATATAACAAAGAGTCGTAATCTTTTGGATTTCTATTTCATTTAGAAAACTTATCAATATCAATTTCCAAATCAACAGAATCCCATGTAATTTGAGATTTGCTTATTTTGGGTGAATTTGCATATCAGTAATGAGTCGAGTGGCACAACCTAGCCCTGTAGGCCCGACCTTGAATTACTAGGACCTAGGCCACAAAATGCGGTCCAAGGGCTTGGCCAAGATAGGACTATAACATGGGCAGCTCAAGCCGGCCTTGTGCAACCCTTTTTTTTCTTCATTTTTTTTTTCCTATTTTTATTTTTGTTATTTTGTTTGGCTGGCCTAACCCAACCATAATAGGGTCAAGGCTGGGCTTTGGCAAGGGGCCCTCTAGCACGATCAGGGCTAAGAGTCACCTGGGTCAGCCCTATGGGGACTATATCCAACAGCAATAAGTCGGGTGCCGCAGCCTAGCCCGGTAGGCCCAACCTTGGATTACTACGGCCTAGGCTAAAAAATG